TAAATGTGCGCCCAAGAGGTCATCAAGGCATCTAGATCAAACAGGCCTAAACGTTTAACCTGATCAGGGGTCAGGTTTATAGCACCGTATGAATATCATGAATGAGACACTGTCCGTCAGCCCCTATTCGAGATTTCTTACTTTATCCCTCTCCTTGGTGCGATGAGAAGTAGGCAAGGCATTAAATATAACTAAGACCGAGAAGTACGAAACCATTGCCGTAGTATGTCTGTTAAAACCATCTTTACTAAAGTACTTTGAGGATCCCTTGACCGTCGCATGGAAGCCAAAGACTTCAAGATTAGTCGCGTGGTGATAAACTTGTATACATGACATGGAATAGTATGTAAACATTTTCTCGAAATAACTTATCTGACTGCTAGTTATTACTTCTATTATGGTTTTAATACATAAGCCCTTTGATATTGTTAGAGTACGGGCAAGAATAATATGGAAATTAGCTCTTGTTAAGTTGAACGCTGTAAAATCCAGCTCCTCGCCATCCAAATAACCACGCCAATTGTCATGAGCATAAACAGCCATGACATGACACCTGCTATTATATGATCCCAGAATACCTGCGCCGCATCTCCTTTGCTATTATTATGTGGGAATGGTCGGTTAGGTACAGGAACGTCAAGAATTTTACATAATGGTTCCCACCCGTGGCTGACTTCATAAAAAAAAAGCTTCCCCGGCGGGACAACCTGTCGGAGATGTTCCTCGTGCTTGTGGAGAGTATCCTCTTCGATCTTCTCCTGGTTGTAGCGCCACAACATTATCTGGTGGAAGCGTTCGCGCCACACGCCGTATACTTGACTCTTGCGAAGAAACAGGACAACCAGGGGAAGATACCAAGTCCCCATCAGGCTGTTTAGATAGTTCATGCTTTTCCACCACGACTTTGAATCTCTGGTAGTTGCTATTACGATGGCGTCAGGGTAGACGCGCATGATCTCAGGCGTGAGCGTCGCAGCGGGGCAGTCCATGGTTGCAACGTAGCCGTCGAGGACATCTGAGATCAGCCAATCAAGCTTCTTCTGGTCCGAGAACGACTGAGCTCTCGGAGCAAGCTCCATAATGTCGAGCCAACATTTTATCTGACCCATTGGGCCCCCGAGGGACTGGATGCCTGAGTCGTGAACAGGACCATTGAGGAGGATGGTAAGGGCTTCGTTGAAAGTCTTGGTACCAGTGCGTGACCTGTTCGGGGTCAACTCTGAGACTCACGGAGTACGATAATATCTACGTCCTCTACCACAAAATGGTACATCACCCGAGAAAGAAGAGCTGAGCGCAAGGCGATTCAATATAACTTACATTCCAGCTCCGATCACACGAAACTTAGTTCCCGGCGGACCTGGAAGCGAAGGTCCTTGACCCATGACGGCGGCTTCGCTAGCGCCAATGAAGCTGTCGCTTAACCCCACAGAAACGTGGTTGTTGGTGATGTCGTGATGTTCCAGACACTCAAACCGCCGAAGTATCGATTGCGTCGTATAAGCTCGAAATGGTGTCATCCTAGGCGAGTATAGCTTTTTATACTCGGACCTGTCATCTGTCGTCACGCTGCAGCAGAGCAGGGGTACAGCGTGCCAAGGACCGGGAAACATGTAGGCGATGTGCGGTTTTCGAGCATATCGCCCTCGCTACGCGGATGATATCTGTGGCTAAACTGCCCGTACTACACAATTCCTAGACACACGACCATTGTTGACAGGTTACTGCCGGACGGCTGAAGCGGCACCCTCATGCAACTTACCCGGTCTACCATACCTGGTAAGCTGATCGCTTCGCTTTATAGTACTCCTCCCCAACATTTCCCCAAAATCACCATGGCTCCCTATCCTCTCTCAGCTGTGAATAAGGTGCCAAGCCGCCTGAAAGCGAGCTCAGCATCGTAGATCTGCAGTATATATATTTCCTTCACCCTGGTTTCAAGGCTCTTCCGGTGCCGATATTGACTAAGTCTAGCAAGATCAGCAATCGCCGTCTCCTGATGGTCTATAAAGAAGGTTGATCGTCGCCCGATGTTACAAAAAATGGAAAGCAGACGGACTTCGAAAACCCGTCCATTAAACGCGCTCATTGCCAGATATGAAGACCATGCGATCACTCGCAATGACATTCATGCGAACTGAGCATTTCGAGGTAATGAACGAAACTACTTCGTGCTCTAGGGGTGAATCATGGAGAAAGGGGGGTCTATCATTTTTAAGGCTTATGGTATCCCTTAGTATCTAGACTATCTAGAAGAAACAAAGCAAGTAGCCTTATTTATGTGCTACAATTACTTAAACATCAATCGAATTATCCGGATCTCAATTAATACCATCCTCTCAGGTAGGTAGACAGCTGTGGATGGCCGTACAAGAATCCTCGTGTGATATGCCGATCCCACCGGAACGCACCTAATACTTAGGATCTGCTAGGTTGAAATCCTATTAGGACTATATAAATGGCTTATAATGCCATATTGAATCTCTATTGGTTAGTATATTCTTGTATACACAATTCTTTAGTCATATGATAGGGTAGCTCACGATTTCTGAAGTCCCACAAACTCTAACATAGGGGTAATGGTTTTGAGAAACGGGGATACTGAATGTTCTATCTTTGAGCTTAGCAATGATAGAATAAGATCTTAGTATCGTGTCTTAGCGAGTGCTTAGCTACCTAGGTATGTATGACCAGTAGTATCAGCTTAATCCAAAGATGTTACACAGGTTAGGGAGGTATGGGTTTCACTAGAGTTAAATCAATAATAGACGTCCCTCAAATAAATTTGAAGAGCGCAATCATGTAACTTCATCTAGATATGTACCCTTCACACCGATTACTGCTACAGACGTTCATCCTAAATCATCGCACTTGGCCTAAAATCTTGTTAACGCGGTATTTACAGATGCGCCTCGGCGTTAGCACCGTAATGGTGAAACTTTTTTATCTCTTAGCATGCCTATATCTACTTGTTAAGGGGAAAACTATCTGATAGATTGTAGGAATTCCTCACATGCATCTAGGTAGTTACCTAAGAGCACTTGCCTATAGTGCTGCTAATTCACGTCTCGGTTGCAGATCCTGGAGGTTAGTTTTAACTATTGGCGAATAACTGTGGCTTAGTGTGGATTTGGGTACTTGTAGAGGATGAGGCTTTCCTGTAGTCTGTCTACCTAATACTTGCCTAGGTAGGTACTTACTCAAGGTGAGCCTCTCATTCAATCCCGACATAGCCGTATAGACATCTGAGCAGGTAACTTGTATTCATGCTAAATCAAGTCCATAACCAATAGTAGCTAGCAATCAATCGTCAAGTCCAACATGAGATTCCGGATTAATCATTCCGAGGAGCAGTAAGGAAATTAGAAGGAAGGATATGTTAGATAGTTACATGCACATGACTAGATGTATCCGTTGATACCCGTGAAGGGCATGTTCCTAAACTCTTGGAAACAAAGGAGAGTCTAAGGGGACAAAGAACCCTTCCAGTATGAATAGCTGGATCCCAACGCCAGGATAGCTTAGAGGTCCTTCGCGGAACAACGTTTGGTTTTACCCTACATAGTATGAACCATTGTGTATGTGCATCACGACAGGATAAAGTAATGAGAGTTTAGCAGAAGATGGCAGGTCGCAGTTGAAACTGCAATCGAATGCGGAATATTGGGTACCTATGATTTCTACCTCTTAGCATAGGTAGGTAGATGAATGAATATTAAGAACTTTCGTGTTCCAGTTTAAGTTGGTAAATATTATGAACTACCACTTCCATCAAAACACATCGAGATAGAAGACACGGGGGCCTTAGTAGACACTCTTATCTAAACCAGTGAATTATGTGTGTCTCTCATAGGTAGGTGCTCAACTTGCATTTGGCAATCCCTTATTGTCCAAGAGACTCTAGGCGTAAGGAGAAGTAAGTCTACCTTGTAAGTTTGCTTAACCTACGAAATACTCAACATACTCCAGATGCATCAAGGATATTCACTGGACCGCCACTCCAAGTATGCTCATTGCCACTATCAACTCCCATTGATTCTTCATCAACGACAGATGTCCGTCATTTAGCTTATTGTTGAGATATCGCCACTCTTGTGTATAACCGAACGCATTCCCGGAGCCGTCTCCGGAGAAAGAGTCCTTGGTCTCATTCAATCAAGATAAGGCCACCTGACTTCTAAAAGTCCAGGCGTCCCATAAGCGATGCAAGTGTTTTAGTCATCTGGTTCTCGAAGATGGTTATCACAAATGCAACATGATAACTTCTTTCCACTCTCACAACTTCTCCCGGGAACAACCTGCCTATGCTGGGGGGCGATCAACGCGGTTTTGTGGCATCTCGGGCCTGCTTGCACTGCCGTCGAATCAAGTTCCCCTTTCTCGTCTCAAGAACCAAGAAAGAAAGAAACGAAGTGCCTTAAGAAGCAAGTTGCAATTCTTGGCTCGCAACTTCAATATCATACATTCTTCTGCGTCGTTGCTGGTCAGCCAGGTGGGAGGCAAATATGTAACCTTCCTCGGGGTTTCTAATTCGTCAAATCGGCGGCTTATCGAAGCGCCGGCAGTCGGGTATGTACACGTCTTGCATACCTATGTATATCGCGTAGTCATTAGACATAACGTACCGTTGATGCAACGCCAATGACGGCTGACGCTGAGACCTTCCATGGTAGACACATCCACTGAATGATTCTACATGTTTCTTAACCATATTCTAGAATACCTTGCTGGGCAAGTAGTAGTCTTGTTCCTTCGAATATCATAGGTACTGTGCTATCATTTATGTCTAGTGATAAGGTCAATGAAAAGAGAACAAGTGTTTTTATCATAACCATGATCAATTGTACAAAACGGATCCGTCCTATTGGTAAAAAATACTAGCTTCGCATACAAATAATCCATAGGTTCCACAATTTCCCAAAACTAATTATGGAAAGCCAGACTGGATATAGAGCTAAAATGCAGCGTTTTCTTCAAGAACAAAGTGTACATTTGTCCAAGCATGAATGGTGTAGCGGTAACATTCAACCCTTCCATCTGAGAAGATTCAGGTTGAGCTCGGGGTTCGACTCCCCGTTCATGCATTTATTTTTCAGTCTTTTTTTTCATCCCACTTCCCACTTTCTACCTACATCATCATCATCAATTCCACTTTTATAAGATTCTTATTTTTATTTTATTTTTAGTTTTTGATCTACGAAGATGTTCAATATTAATCTTATTTTTTTTTAGAATCAAAAAATATTTATTTCGTCATGTCGTATTGACTGACATACTCATTAGTGCCTGAATCCTACTTTCCTCGCGATGTTGCATACAAGATCAACAGATATTCATTATGATCTGCATTGGCCGATGCGCTGGCAGATCTTTTTGAAGGCTCCATATCTCGATACAATCAATATATCTTGTACAACGGTGACAAGATTGTCTGCAACGATTCGGCTTCCGGGTTTTCGTTACGCGCGTCTGCTACTCTAACAGCGGCAACTTTTTTCTCGATTCGAGTAGCTCGGCTTTTGTCAAATTCCCATCCTTGAAAATACATACTATGTAGAGGACTCGGGGCGATGTTGGTTGGGCAGTTGGGGTGGCCTGAAAATTATTCATGATAATTATTCCCCGTTAAGTATAGGTACAGAGGGGGGCTTCGGTAGGATCTCCCGACGCTTTGACGGCGTGATGATGTGATTTAGCTGCACGTATGAAAATAGCAAGCAAGACAGTGGTTGCAACCCCAAACGAGGAGAACCTTATCAAACATTTCCAACAAACATTAGCACACTTGACTCCCCTGACTCCTCAGCTCGTCTAGCCTTTTTACTGTGTAGTCTATATGACGGCTTCTTAACCAAACTGCCGGGTCAAAAGACGTCGGCGCGTAGCTTGGCCCATCTTGGCAACTTTTCGTGCGCTCGATTAGGTCTTTCATCTTCGGCTTGGCTTCAGCGAATCTCGCCTAAGAATTCCACCTTGTTTAGCTCGCGCTACGGATCTGATACCCGTTGCTTAGACTCATTCTTAAAATTGCTGACTTGATTCGGCGCCGTTCCGTCGGGAGGTTAAAGAAGGCCCACAACGGATCACCTCTCCCAATGCGGGCTTTAGACCGTTGAAGTTATATTAGGGCCACGAGGCATCTACATAGGTGGGCATGGGGCATACCTCGTCGGCGCGTGTAGTGGTGATGGTGCAGGTGGTGGTGCAGGAACCGACCACTCGATCCATTTGCCGTTCTCTCGATCCCAGAGATGCACAATGTACACTACATAACATACATACATACATACATACCTACATACCTACATAATACATACGTCGATAAAGCTAGGTACCCGGGTTTGGGACGGATATGAACCAGATGCATGTTAGTGGCGGCAGCGTCGCCATTGGGCGGGAATCAACTGCCCTGCGATCTTCAACTGACTGCGAGGGGAACACGCGTTGGGGCGGCCCAGACGAGTAAGATCAGCAGGGGAGAGGAGGGTGTCAGTGAGGCTTTCGAGGCAACACACTGCGTTCGAGAGATTGTCAAGATTGACGTGATTGTCGTCCAAATACGAGGAGCCTCAGCATGCAAGACCTATGCAGAGCTGGCAGATATTTGCAGATAATAATTTCTGGTAATTCTGGCAGTCATCAGGTACACCGACAGAACAAGAACAGAAAAAAAAACTACAGAAAAATCGGAGCCGGATATGTGCCAAGCCTATAACTATAGATGGACCCATGGCTCGATTGGGGAATCTTTCCATTTTTCTTTGATTAATAGGTGCGTCTCCCTCGTCCATCACTTGGCAACTCCTCCGAGGGATCGTCTATAGGGCCCTTTCTCTTGCGTCTCTCGCGCGGGCGAAGGTGGAAACAATCAGGAGACGCAGCAGCACCGCATCCGGTCCGTTTATCCCCCAGAAAAAAAAAAGGCAATAGTGGAAAAAGCTTTCCCATTCGACAAAAGCCAGCAAAAGCAAAGTCCCGCGATTTGTCAATATTCCCTCACCCTGTCTGTCCATAGAAAGCGTACGGGAGTGATCGCCTTTTCTTATGTGTGTTTGGCTACCACCGTTCTCCCCTTTTCTATCGAATTCCACTCTCCTGCGAAAATGCGATGTGTGAGAGAGAGAGAAAGAGGAGGGGCACGGCGCGCTCTGATACGATATCGGCCGAAATGGAATCCCGCGGTTCTCTTGGCTGCGTCCCCTCTCAACATCGCATCGTTCTCCCAGAGTGGTCAGACTTCGGTAGGAGCCGACGATGCCGAATTGGACGGGCATTCTAGGCGAAAAGCCACCACGTGGTAAACGTGGTCAGCTTCTCTCTTTGGCCATGACGGGCGGGATAGGCTTCCTAAATAAATTCGAACTAGCCGTTATGTTCTTGTTTCCATTCGCTTAAACGGCAACGTCTTCCTGGGCTTATACATAGTAGTACCTGGGCTGGCGCTATTGGTAACGACCCTTACATCGTGCTGTAGTAGGCAGGTGGTGTCAGTGGGTCCTGGGTCAGCCAGCCATCGTGAACTTATTGATGGATCGTGCATTAGAGCCAAATTGGGATGGATATTAAGTTATTAATCCACAGAGAAGATCCCTCAGGGTCCCGTCGAAATGACCCCCCAGCACACAATTTCTAGGCTAGCTTCCCCAGAAGGAGAGAGACAAGTCTCGTCACCATTTTGAATTTATTATTCTTCCATCACACACAACTTTTATTACCGCCTTGTCTCAGCCATAGCTTCATCCCAACTTTTTCTCCAACAACTCCTGGACGTGTTTCATCTTAGCTAGACATATACTATACTGTGTGCCGTGTCATACCATCCCATCCCATACCATACCATACCAAGCCCACCGCCTCTATCTATCTATCAATCTATACCTAATAGGAGACTCGTAAGTGGCCCGTCCACGCTTCTTACCGCCTGAAGACAGTCTCTGACTTGCAAACACACAGTTACTACACATTGCTCCCCCCTTCTATCAAAGCACCCATCCTACTTCAGGATACAACAACACCCTCGACACAATGCATATGCACACCTGCGGCAACTGCGGAACAGAGTACACAACAGGCAGCTGTTGGTACTGCCATCCGCAGAACAAGCCTCAAGAACTGGTAGAGGCACAAGAATCGCATACTCACTGAGTACGATGACCTCATTCACATGAAAAAAAAGGGGAGACAGAGACAGAGAAGAGAGAGGGAGTGTGTACGTTGGATAGAAGGGAAAGAAAAAAAGAGGGCTTCAATTCGAGGCCCTCAACTTTTGGGACCATGAACCCATTCGCTTAGTCTCGCGACCTTATTACGCGGGACAACTTCATTTGTTTTACACCATTGCGCTTTTTTTTTCGTCTCGCTCACACGCCCACCTCGCTGCTCGGCTTTCGCAACAGGGGCAGCGGACCAAGGGGCAACACATTCGCGTCAACTCAAAGAGCTTGACGATTATCGGGCTTGCAATGGACATCGGAATTTACCATAATGGACGCCAGTATTCTTTTTCTTTTCACGACCAAAAACCAAAAACGGGGAAAAAAGGCTTTATTTGTTCACGTCTTCTTCCCCCCCTCTTTTGGGTCCTCCTGCTTCGAGGTCTTTGATGCATTAGTAGCCTCGCGCTGGCTAAAAAAAAACACTTTACGAAGAAATGATCAGGGGGTTTTTATTTGAGGGCTTGCTTTCATCAGTACCTCGGAGACAGTTGGCATTTACAAGGCGTTATAATGATATCACTACAGGGAAACGGGCATATTAATTTTCGAGGAAAAAATTCTTTTTCTCAGTCATACAATGGGCTGTCAAACGGAAAGAAGCATTATTTTTTTAATTCGGTTTTTTTTTTCGGTTTAGAGCCCCGGGCCTAGCATGCGATCGAGATATCTTGACGACTTTTAAGAATATCAGGCGCATGAACTAACTACTACTTACTACTACAATACTTTTGTTACTATCTACCTACTTATCCATAGCTAGTACTTTTGTGTGCTTCTCCTGTACTCTCCTTCTCTGTAGTCTTGCTACTACATACTGTTTAGTCGTTAATTCTAATAGCTAGATTGAAATGATAATGATATCTGAACTTTGGTGGCGACAACTATGGTGACGGATCATGAAGCTAATTCTAGTTCCCATGGCTGCCAGATAGGCACCTAACCTAACCCAGCAGGTCCAATAATATCCATCTTCTCCAACTCACTATTAATAGCGCGTTACACTTCCGGGTTCTTCATTTGCTTCGCTCATCTAAATCAATGACGTGCGCTATGATTAGGGCTACGCGGGTAATCATCATAAACAGCTGAAGTCGAGTGCCATCTGGAGTCGTCTAGGCACGGAGCTGGATAGCTGAGTTACCCAAGAAAGCAATATAAGATTATTATGATTGGAGAGTCTAACCTCCGAGAAGTCCCTACATATATTATGATGACAGCTGCGCGAAGCCTCGGAAACTTCCTCGCGGTAAGGCCAAAAAAAACCAACAAAAAATAGACCTTATCCAAAACGACCCCAAATTCCCCCAAGCGAAAACGGGAAAGATAAGTTTGGGACGATATGCAACTTCGAAAATGCCATTTCCATAAATAGACGTTCCAGAACGCGACATGGCGTGGTTTTGTCGCACCAGAACGGGATTGAATGAACACGTATGCGTGCATCCCCAAACCTACCTTACCTCCCTATGTACCTGCGGCATATTATATCGTAGCATGCAATAGAACGAACCCCTGGCAGAGGCTCCGTGGGAAAGGAAAAAAAAAAAAAAAAAAGCCTGGCTCGACTTTAGGCTTTTTACCTCTTCCCCGTGGGGTTGGTTCCGATGTACCACAGCAGCGCCGGGGAGATACGTAATATGCAAGGGGTGAGTTCGGTAGGTGTGTTGAGCCTGACTTTGGGCGTACCGTAGAATGAAATCATGGGGTCTCGGTGAAGGTTACACAGACCATTGTCGGCTTGGGATAGGGGTATAAACCGGCACTATTATTAAACGAATAGGTGGGCTTAAATTTTGGTATATTAAAAGCATTATCGCGCCGATAGCATTATATGCGGCGTATGCAATTCCTAAATAATAGTTCGAAAT